TTGATCTACCATGTTTCTCTGAATGCTTACTGAATGCATACTGAATTATCTGAATGCTTACTGTTGCCTCTTATTGGAGTAATAGGATACATACAGCAATTGAAATTTAGCAGGTATTGCCTGGAATATTCTCTGTGGTAACCATTTTATCTGTAATACAAATGGATGTAGGCTGTTGTAGGATTTGTTCCATGCAACAGGATTTGCTTAACTTGCAGCCTCTCTGGAGTTAGTCAGACTCAAGTGTTGGGATTTGTCATTTATGACCCTTGACTCTGTGACTTCTTAAAAATAATATTTTTAAGAAGTGTGAGTTGCAACTAGAAGACCTTCTGTAATTCCCTGACAACTATAGGGAGGTTTGCATATCTTTATGAATTGGTGTTGAGTGCTCTATGACACCATTGTCCAATCATGTGAAAATAGCCTGCTGTTCCACAGACTAGGAGCCAGGAGGATGAAAGTTGGAGTGTCATTGCTGTCTTGGATGTTTTTCTCTCACTTTCACCAGCCACCAGCCAGCCCTGCTTTCTTGCTTCCACTACTTTCAAATAAATTTTTATGTTACCCTGAAGTGCTTTGCTAGAGACACTGATGTCTGAGTACAAAGTTTGCACTGTGAAATCCACAGCCTGGGTACAGATGAGCTGTCAGTATGTACCCATGGTAGACTTTGCAGTAATTTCTGGTTTATATTTTCATGTTACTGGAAGGAGATATTCTGATGTAAAGACCACCTTCTGTGCTGCAGCCATTCATTGTGTCCTGACAGGGTAACACTCCTGTGTGACGGCTGCAGCCACCACAGGACAGGGTGGGCCTGGAGCTGGCTGCAAGTGGCCAGTTGAAAGGGTTAATGTGCCCCATTTCTTTGTGCCACTTTTATGTACCCAGCTAATGCTAATACCAGATACAACAGAGTGTTACTTTATTAACACATTATTTTCTTTTCCCTAAGTTTCTATTTTATACACTGGTGACACTAAAGTGTGATTTTGTTTGTTTTGTTCATGTCAGATTCCGTTCTCCAAATTCTTTCTCTCCAGTCGGGGAAGAGTCCAGGATAACCAGCATCCTGTCTGGTTAGACAAGGCAAGTGTTCTGTAGGCTTTATTTGACGTTTCTTTTGAAAGGGCAGTATAAGGAACGCACAACTGCTCTGTAAGAAATTCAGCATTTCCTTCAAGATGGCCTGATAAAGATAACTTACAAATTCTGTAATGTTTGTGAATTTGAAATAGAAGGGTCTCTTCATGTTATAAGTTACTTATTATCATGTGTGGTAAACGAAAACATAAAGTTGTATATGAGCTATTTAAAAATATTTACTAGGAGTTAAAGGGACAAATCAGTACTTGATCTAAGTATCCTCAGCTGAAGTTTTGTTGATGGTTATTTTATGTGTAGCATTTGACAGTAAAAATTATGCACTTGCATTGTAATTTTACATATTTTATAGAAACCCCAAAATCAGGGAAGCAGTGTGAAGATAGTTTAAGAAATCTTAATAAAATGTCTTGGTCACACACAGAATATTTGGAGTTGGAAGGGGCCCACAGAGCCCATCAAGTCCAACTCTTAAATTCATGGTCCTCATGGTACTAATGTGTGTCTTCCTAGGAACCTGGAAAGGCAGAAAATAATTGTTAAATAGGAATAAAAAAAGGCAGGAAGCAGTGTAACTAGGGCTTGCAAAGGAATTGATTCTTCAGAGCAGAGAGTTTAGGTGACTCCCATACATTATCTGTAACAATGTGATTTGGAAAAAAGGAGCTTTAAAAACTCTCTGGACTCTAAAAGCCATGGGGCTGTTTGTAGGCTTGCTGCTGGGGAAGGAGCAGCATTGAAAGCATTTAGAATGATCTGGAGGAGTGTTAGTGCATTTACCTAGCTTTGTTTGTTATTTATTTAGCATATATTTGCAATAAAGACTTAGATTCTGACCACATTTATTCATCTGATACATCCTAGACATTTTTTTCCTAAACTTACAGCAGTCCTTAAAATCATGGGCACTGCTCAGACCTACCCTTTCAGCAGAGCTTTGGGGCAGCTGAGTTTATGAGGTGTTCTGCACTGGTGCCTGGACTGAGCTGTTAGCGATGGAGGTGTTCTGTAACACACAAGAGGTGAGGGAGCATTTGGGCAAGCCACAGTCTAATAGAAAGCACACATGAGCCACACAGATTTGTTCTTATATTTAAGAACATTAATTGGAAAGCAGTGGCTAAGAACCTCGTTTTACTATTAAGCTCAGTGATTGTTTCATCCCAGCTTAAAATTAAGTCCTAAAATGTCTGGTTTGGTGTTTTTGCAGAGTAGATAGTGTATCTCTATCTAGAATGATCCCTCTTCCATCCTTACTTACATTTTTGTTTTTCCTATTAATGAAAGAATACTGATTTTATGAAAATATGTTTAGAAATCCAGTTGTTATGAAATTGGCCGTATACAAAGCATGAAGGATAAAAGTAACTGTTGCTTTAGGCTTGGGCCATTTTAAATCAAGGTTTTATTAACACAGTGGTAGGAAGACAAATGTGGAGTCATTTCCCACTGGAGTCTGTCTTCAAAATGGGGTAGTGAAGTGTTCAAGCCTTAAGAAATGCTGCTGCATTTTGAACAAATACCAGTTTAGAGAAGATGGCTGTGATTGGTGTGTAAAATATAGAATTGGGAGATACAACTGAGTTTGATTGTAATATTATAAATACTGTTCTACCCTCTGTGTCTTTTAATTAGATTAGAACCCTTGGATTCACCATTGGAGATAAAGTAGATGGTCCATTCCAGCTGGAAATCGATTTTATTGGTCTGCTAAATGACAGAGCTCATAAAGAAAAGTTTGCCTATGAAGCATATGACAAGAACACTCCAGTCTAAGTTGGACTGGTGTCCTTTGAACATTCTTCAGATATATGGTTTATTTTTATAAAATACTTAACATGTGGCTTTTAACAACTTGAAGAGCCTGTGTAACATTAAAGAGATAACTACATGAAGTGTGATACCACTGACATCTTTAAGCTCCCAAATACAGAATCCTGGAGAGACTGTACGGAGATGGATGGACTGCAACGTAGCCTGAGAGCAGTTGTGATGTTCCTACAAAGTAGTAACTCCTCTTGGCTTCTGTCCTGACCTTTACTGAAATAAAAGTATTTAATAAGTTTGTTGGGTTTTTTTGTCCAACACTTTCATTTTCTATATTATGTGGTTTGTTGACAGTTGTAAAACACTTGCATCTGCTAGTTTTAAACTGAAAAAGCTATGAGAATTAATATTCTGAGGACTGGTGCTTAAGTGTGACTCAGCTACAGAGCTTTACAAAGAGCAGGACCCGGAGTGGAAAAAGCAGAAGTATTTCAACCTTTAACTTTGGCTCCTCTAGATAGCTAAAAAAAGAAAAAGCTGCCCTGCCAAGATGGAAACAAGAGCTGTGCAGCCTGTGTGACTTTTCCTTCAGAGCTGTTGAAGGTAATCCTACAACGTTACAGAGCCAAGGTTGTTAGAAAGAAGTAATGCTCCAAAGGAGGGGTGGGAGGAAAGCTGCAGCTCTGTCTCCTCCCTGAGCAGGCAGAGCTTGGCTTACTTAGCACCATTACAGGGCACAGCAGCTCCCACTTCTGCTGTGTGCAGTTAGCCTAACTCAGCTGTGGTGTAAGAATTCACAGCCTCAACTGGTGGCACAGAATCTTAATACCTCTCTGTTTCAGATAAATTAAGTTTTCAGTAATTCAAGATAACCACTCAGCACTGGCTTTGTAAAGTTTATGTTTCAGCTGTCAAATTTAAGTAATTAAAGCACTGACCTCCTCCACAGTGACTTTAAGTATACTTTAGAAGTATTAAATGTACCTGTATTTTATATGGAAGAGACCACAATGAAGCAAGCTGAAACAGGATCTTGTACTATCATTTTCCTTTTGCACTGAATTCAGCTGCTTATTTGTAGAAGAAGGATGACACCAGGAAGATAGCAGAGCAAACATCTTTCATGGAGTGGGAGGCAGGTGAGTTGGTGAGGAACAATTGGCACAGAAAACAGCAGTTAATACAAACATTAACAAAAAGAGTGCCAGAGTAAGGAAGCAATTGCAGTTAGTACACTAAATTATAAAGCCAGTGATAAACAGGACATATTAAAAATATTTCCCCCTTAAATTTATTAAACAATTTTGCTTTTTCTTAACATTGCAACATATATTTGATGGGACACTAAATTCAGTGAAATGCTTATTTGCTCAACAGATGAGATTATAACTGCTAAATTACCTTTTTACTTCCCTAAAAAATCCAGACAACTTTTCTATGTATTTTTCAATGTAAAAATAACAGCTTATTTTAAAACCAAGGTATTGAGTGTATCTCAATTATAACCTCTTTTAAGCATCTTAGAGGTGAAAAGCAAGACAATTTTAACATCTGCTATTTACCATAGAAAGGAGCAAGACCTTAACTCTTCAAAACATTCAGTTGGTAATTTGTAAATTCAGTTGTGACTTTTTGAAAAACGTAGTTTACAGTTATGTTGTACAGTTGTTTGCCAGGGAGCTTGCCTATTTTTTCTTTTTGAAATTCCCTACTATTTCATAGGCATTCAATTAGAAATGCTGAATAATTGCTGTAACTTAGAGAACAGGGCAAGCAGGTACTTCCAAATCTTGTCATTTTGAACACTGGAATATTTTGAAGCTGCTGCTATCTAAAGCCTGTATTCTAGCACACAACAAGTGCATTCTGATGCACAAGTCTATCTTAAGTTGCAAGGAGGCTTCTTTAGCATCTTTTTTCCACTTATATTTTCTTTAACATCTTTTAGTCAAGTAAATTAGTTTAATGAAAACATTGTGAAGCAACAAGAGAGTTCTAAGCCCCTGAAAGTTTAGAACTGTCATCACAGTGGAGAAGTTGGTCACAGAAACATTATGCTCAGGGCACATTACAAGGTCTCATTAATTGCTTTCTGGATACCACTAGCTAAAAGCAACCTGAACCATACATAGAGCACAAGCCTTTACAAGAGAGAGGAACAGTATTTACAGTGATGTCTTAGGTACTTCTTGTTAGTCCTAACATCCAGATAGGCCTCTACGTTTTCCAAGAGCATAAGCCTTTTTCTTTTTTCTGTCTTGCTCAAGCGTGTCGCGCCTTTCTTCCCTGGAGGGAAAAAAAACATCATGTCAAGTTTTATTAAAGTAGAGACACTAACAACCAAAGGAATCTGAAGCTGACCACAGCCTAACACAAGTTTAATCAGTGTGCTGCCTCTGCCATAGGCAGAGATAAGAGTACCATTATGGACTGAACCCAAACATCCAGGCAAATACTTCTGCTGAGACACGCAGGTCTAACACTTGAGGTAACAACATGTCAATATTGATAGCTTCTTCCAAGATGAAGCTAAATCTCCAAACTCTGGAACTGATACTGTTCACAGGAAAAAAAAAAAGTCTTAACAAATTCAAAGCAGCCTTTTCTTGGCCTTCCTGAAATTGAACAGTCATTGGAAGGAAAAATGGCTTTAATACAAAAGTATTATTTCCTAAACTACATTTAAATCCTAAGAAGGATGAATCATCATATTATTTTAAGTAACACTATCTATAAAAAGATGAGTGGTGTACTAACCTTGTCTGAAGATGTGGCTGTTTGTAATCTTTCCTATGTGAACAGATACCACCAGACCTACTGAGAACAGCATTTTCTTTAAATTCTCCCCATGGTTTTAGTCGTCCTACAATTTAGGAGCAAAAGAGAGACTAGTTTAATAGTTTAGTAACTAATTTTGTGCTTAACTTCTTATTGAATTTATCCTAGCTAGCCTGTTTCTTACTGGTTGTCTGGAAGATTAAATGCCTCTTTAAGCTGTATTATCAGTTTCACTAGCCCATTTCCTACAAGTAGTTCTTCTGTAAGTAGAAACAGGTGACTGTACTTAGAAGGTAACACTCACCATGCAAAGTTCAGCTTCTCACATGAGATTAAAAAAAACCCACCTCATTGTGTTAGGAATATTTTGTATTTACTGTACAGGCATCTATTTGGTGGAATACAAGAATATTTATTCTTGTATTTATGGGCTTTCAGTCACAAAATCTTCATCTTCAGTAGGGATGCTCTTGAAGCATATATTATGAAGAAATTTAACATCCAACTGCATAGTAACCCAGAGAGCAAGTAAAGGGACAGGAAAAGAGGCTGTAAACTTTGCTCTCGCTGTGTGTATCAAAGTACCCTGTAAGAGCAGCTGAGTGTGAGAGGTGTGGCCAACACAGACTGCACAGGGTCACTACCTTTGTGTGGCTGATACCGAAGTGGCCGAGAGAGACTTGCTTTGAGATCAAATGTCTTCTTTGCACTTGTGGGTTCTGCGGGTTGAGCTCCAAACTTGAAGGGGGTAAGAACTACAAAAGGCATCAAGACACCATAATTAGAGTAGCAAGAGCATCAATGTACACAGAATGACCACACTACAACTATCGAGACCAAAGAGCCATTAAATGCTACTTTTAAAGCTAGAATTGCACAAACAATGCAATTCTCACTTGAAATAGGAAGGGGCAAGAGCTATAGAGTACTGGCCCTTTAGCTATGATTATACTATTGAAGAGCACATACAGCTCCATGTGTTTTTCTAGTCCTTCAAGGCAAATTGTGTTTCTTCTATGCCTATTTGGAACCAAGTGTTTTTTCACATTAAAGAAGAATTCTTTTGGAATAGGTCAGCTTCAGATCAGTGTGGAACTTTGCTTGCCCCTTGAAAACATCGGTATTATTATACAGCAAACCAGGAAGCTCTGGGTTCTTGACCTGTGCAAATAACCCTGTGATGCTGAGGGTGTAAATAGCTGGACAGCAGAACTGTGCTGCTGCAGATATTGTTAATAATTAGAAGACTTCTGATTTTTCTTGATTTTAATTCCCGAGTTATCAGGGTGCTGACGCTGACAACAGGTTGTCCTAAAGCACAGCTAGAAGCCTGATGCATGCTAACCCCACAAGGAGAACCAGACCTCTGAGGTGTTAGGAGTTCCTTTCTGTGTAGATGGGGTATCCCTGTATCTGCTATATGAATCTTTTGCTATGTAGTCCCTAAAGGGCTAGAAGACTTTCTATCCTCTTTTCTGTAGATAGCTAGGTACCACATGTTTAAGTTGTGGCACCTAAATGCTTTAGTCAAACCACTGGAAAACAAAGGAAACAGAACTAGTGCAGTTTCTGAAGCACCAGTCATAACTTAGATAATTAAATTAAAACCTGGGTCGATATGACATTCAGTCATTAAAAACTTGTATAGTAATTCAGTAAGACAAAAGTCTTGAACTGAAAGAGCCAAATATTCATCATTCACCTTACCCTTTGATGCAGTCAGATCATTATTTCTTGCATTTTCCTTACTATTCTTCTGACTTATTAGTTTGCAGCTCTTTTGAGTGTCAGGTGTGCAGATCTCCTCCATGTATGGAGACATTCTAGATGGAGTCTTGGTAAGAGAGCGTTTGTGCTCATTATCTTTTGTGGCTTCTGAGAACCTGAAAGATTTTAGAAATGTGGAGACAAGTTTAGTCACCTATAAGGAATGTAAGCATTGTGCCAGAATAGAAGAAATTCTGCCTTCTGTATTGTTTATTATTTATTACAGGTAGAAAGATCTACTGTGTGAAAAATGCTCACATCTCATACAAAAACTGTACAAAAATACTTTGCTGGTATAACACAATGTTTCAAGCCAGTGTCAATAGCAGTTAAGTGCTATTAGAAACTACAAAGAACTGACTTTCTTGTTATTTTGAAAAGCAAATATACTTGGGTGCAATAAGCTAGTAGATGTATTCACCAACAGACACAATTTACTTTAGACTTGGATTCTGTAGTAAAACATTGCATATTTCGTTAGCTTTAAAATTCAAATTAAGAAGAAGCTGACAATTTTGAAACACAAGTTACCTGCATACCAAGACACACACATTCCACATGTATTCCAAATGTGTATATATACATTTTTAATGAACACCTATGATTACTTATATATATGTACATGCATAAAATTCAATATCTTGCAAAAACATATGAGAATAAGCCATGAGCTTGCAAGATTTAGAAGGATAAGGAGTAAATGTTGAAGAAAGCTGTTTTTGTGGGCAAGTAGGTTTATGAAGAAGTACAGTTTGCAAGGTTCACCACAGTGCAACTTTGGATGAATGGAATTTCAGAAGCAAATTCTGAAAATGTTTTGGTTCACACATTGCTAGGAATCAATTAGGGCTACAATGAAGACATCCAAACTCATCCAAGAGGACACTAGAGGTAGTGTATTTCTTCATTTTTTATCTATTGAAATCAAAAATATATTTAGAGCAAAAATAAAGCCATTAAGTTTGTAAGCTTGATTTTGACCTTTGAAAAGACCAGCAGAAGACCTGCATTCCAAAGTCACATAATTATATATTATCAGACACCAATATGAGAAGTTGCATTATCTGACTTAAAAACAACAATCCCATATAGAATTTAGTCAGGGACAAAAAAAAGGCCCAGCAGCCATGATCTTGGCATGCAAAAGTGGCAAAGTGAAGGTCATCAGAAAAAGTAACACAACCAAGGCCTGTGAACAACTGTGTACTGTTAGCAAAGGGAGACTATGTAATCAGAGCTTCAGTCACTGTGGAAGGTTTAGGAAACTGATTCAAGTCAAAATTAGTATAATTGTTAGAAATCAGCAAAGAAATAGTAGAAATAAAGGCTTTCAGTAGAAAACCAAGCAAAAAGAACATTTATGACTAGGATACTGTAAGGACTGTCCTTTTAATTCCTTCTTGTAAAATATTTCTTGATCAAGGCTTTAGGAAAATTATTAAGAAGCAAATAAAACATACTGATAACAGAAGTTCATGAAGTATTAACACTAATAGAGAATGAGATTAATGTGGAGGAATGATGACACACACACGATGTTCTAAAAGGGAATGAGATGAGGTGTAATAGCATTGAGCAAGAGTTCATCCATTTAGCAATTCCTCGTGACTTCTGGTTTGTCAGTTCCCACCTGCTAGAAATGGTCTGCTTGTAGTAGTCAATCACAAGAGGACCCCTCCTCCTGAAGGGGAGGGGATGTAGAGGACAAAAGGAAGAAAGTACCTAAAAACCATTGTAAGACTCACCTGGAATACTGAAGAGAATTCTGATTAAAAAATTTACAGAAAAATTAATTTGGATAAACAGAAACTATTAGGTTGCCTGGCAAAATAGAAAACATAACACTGTAATAGAAGAAAAATAATTTGCTTGATTTTGCATCTTTTGGCTTTAGAAAAATGAAAGCCAGGATTTGAGATTCTTCTGAGACATAAAACTGAAGAATGAAGACAGTAACAGCACAGTGAGGCTTTAACCACACACAAAGCCAGGCTGAAAGTTATTAATCAGAATTAGTCTTGCATAGTTCATGTTTGGACTAATCACAGTGAGTGTTGATTATTTCATGTTTATCACATCAAATGGCTTGCTGGTAGCTTTGGTTCATTCTTTTTACCTGACATTCATTTTGGATGTTGAAAGTACAGAAGGATGAAATGAAGATTTCTGGGATAAAATGCTCCGATTAGCAGCGTTCAGAGAATTGCGTGGTGAGCGCCGGAGGTTACTAGGAGTACTGGTGGTGGAGAATCTGCCTCTTTCTGGATTTGGGCTGAATAAAAATCTTTTGCCACTGGCTCGTTTCTAAGGAAAAGCAAATTCTGAGTTACCAGATTCTGCTGAAAATTTATCTAACAAAGCAGCCAAGAGGAAGGGAAAACACACAGTGTATCAGAAGCATATGGCCTCTTCAGTTTTCTCCCTTTTTTTTTCCCCCTCTTTAAAAGCATACTTCAAATAAAAAGTATTTTTATTATTAAATTGACCTGACAACACATACCTTAGAATATGGAGTGTCTTTTTCTGGTGCTCTTAAGGGATTTGATTTTCTGGTCAGAACCTGCTAATAGTAATTTGTCTGAAGTATACATTGATATAATATATGCCATTAAAAAAATAAATGTAGTGTTCAGGAATTTCATTGTTACTGTTTGATATGGACCTGGCACTGCTAGAGTAACCAGCCTGAGCAACTCTATGGCCATTGCCATATTCATTCACACAGTCATTGATACATTACTGTCATTTTTATAGGCTCTACTGCACATTGCGAGAGGCCCTGTTAGTAGCTTTCACCCATGTGAGGGTGAAATACAAGAACTAAGAACAACACATATTACATGTATTTTTAAGAAGAATCACATGCAGCCATGGGATGATAGTTCAGGCACAAAAGAGAAAATATTTAATTCCTGCTCTTTGAAAAATAACCTATCCCCTTGGTTAAATTTTGCAGCAATTCAAACAGTTGTAAACAAAAGTAATTGGGACAATTATTTTTATTCAGAAACAAGTTAGTTGTTGGTTTCTACAGCTGTACACTGTTAACATGTAAAACCTGGTATTGCTATATAAGTTATATATAAATAAATATATATATGTATAGGTTGTAATATCCCACTGCATGTTCACATGACCAACTACCTACTGATCTAAAGAGACCTGGTAGGACTTTTACAGAAAAGCCCTGGAAATAAATGATTATGCCAACAATGGGTATCTTCCTGTGTTATCTCTTACCTTGACTGCACTGCAACTTTCATTCAGTTTTTTTTTCCTCTCAATGTAGTCAGCAATAGATTCCATTTTCTTGAATTGAGCCTCGTGCAACTTTTTAAAGTCTAAGAAGTTCCAAAAATAAGAACATTCACAGATATAATATGGTTCTAAGGAAGTTTAATATATAATATATTGTCATGGCCTCAAATAAGTCCATGCATCCCTCTAATTAAAGTCTGTAGACACAGCTGACCAAACAGAACCAAAAGGATCTATTTCACCAGCTACATGGCCCGTTACCTGGTCATCTGGAGGATTATAGAATCATGGTCTGGGTTGGAAGGGGCCTTTGAAGATCACCCAACCCAACCACCAAATTCTGCAGTTAAAGAAAACGATAAATACTTCTATGTTTGAAATGATATAACGTATTTTAAGAAGTGATGAACATGAGCTAATGTATAGTAGTACAGCACAACCATAGTATTTATAAAGTGAAAACAAAACAAGCAGGAATAATATAGCATGTATGTCCTTCCTGTTCTTTGAAAATAATTACTACAAGTATTGTATGGAGAAGTCACCAAAATGCTCAATAAACCAGTTTTTTAACACACATGCCAGTCATTTACTACTATGAATTTATGAGCCTGGAGTATGTGCCTTGAAATGTAACATTTGGGAATATTTTTTGTTTGCTTTTTAAAGAGAGGATATTCTTTTATTTGAGCAGGAATAGAAATCCGAGTTGTAAAAACCTAAGCCAAGTCTCCCTTTACACAGATAAAACACATCTCTTTCTAAAGATGGCAGGTTATCTTACTTGGTGTGGTAGCTGCCACTGCTGCTTTTGCAGACCTAGATGCACGGCCTACATGTAAAGGGATCTTCCCTCCTGCAGGATGAGCATTACCTGGTACAGCAAGATTAGAAAATATCATTACAACTCCTGGATGATTTAAAGTAATCACTGTGATTTTAAATATTGTTCCAATGTTTGTTTCAAATCAAACTTTATCTCTTCAAAGTGGGTTCAGGTTTTGAGAAATAAAACCAGCTGGAATAGGTATGTTCTAAGTCTCTCAAAAGTGATTTAATTGATTTGTCAGTAATAATAGATCTTGACAAACCACAAGCCCAGCATGAATCCAAAAGTCATATTAGGTTAGTATCTTATGATAGCAAAATACTTTTCAGGGAAAGTTTACAAGAGAACTGTGCTTGTGACAAACAAAACTTTTAAAAAACATAGATCAAAGCCTGTGAATTTAATGTTGACGCTAAAGAAGAAATAGCTTTTGACCAACTTTTCTGCTACTGCCTTATTTACATACAGAGTCCAAGTTATTTTTGTCATCTCTGTTCTCAGTAACAAGCTCATGCTCACATTTTAATGATTAATTTTATTAAGAAAAAAATGAGGTAGCAACTTTACATCAAGTTCAGCATTTGCATATCAACAGCAAACACTTGTATTTCTGGTTATTCACATCTCCTCAAAAGTAAACTTAGATGATCTCAATATATTGAGAGAAATCCTTATTGGAAACAAATAATGGCATGCAGTTAAAAAATCAATTTGTTGATACTAAATCCAGACACTTGTTACTAGAGCTATATGAAGAGATGAGCACTGTAGCAACTGTCAGGATGAGTGATGCCCCCAAGCATTCCCCACATAACCTCTTGTTTTTGTTTTTAAGAACAACCTTCATAGAAAAACCCACATTTTTGAGTTAGTTCAAAATTATTGGTGGTCTCCCATAAGATTGTCCTTGTAAATCGTAATGAACAATGAGAATATCCATAATAAACTTACAGACTACACACACTGAGCCTAACAGAGCAAATGCAGAAGTGTATCTTAATTGACAGACCCCCTCAATATCAAGAAATTATCAAATTAGGTAAACAAATTAATTTCCTCGTGTCAGCTGCATACACAAAGGGGGATAAATTAATTCATGTTTTCAGTGGCATCATGTTTGAAGGACTAAAAACACCACCAGATGGAAAAAGTGATCCAGTGGAACACATTCAAATACTCTCGGGTATCTCAAACAAATGATAAATGATTCTATGCTTTCTGTTAATTTTACTCCTGGAAAGTAAAATATAAAAGTGTTCACCTTTAGATAAAGATAAATGAACCATAAGGAAGCAACTCCTCCCTTTCTTGCCACCTCTTAGAGGCCAAACAACACCTCAAGGATATTCCAAACGGCACTGATCCTTTTGGAAGTGTAAAACTCAAATACACTCCGATCTCTGAGAATGTCACTAAAAACAAGAGTTCTGAAGTCAAAGTCAGCAAAATTCCTACACTGCAGAATTTGTGGATTTGTGTTACAATGTTAAACAAGTTGCATAAACTCAAACCAGATGAATTTTATTCTGGTATCCCCAAAACAAGGTAATGATCAACAGATGTGCCACAATAAAACTATTTTTTGACTATTCTAAATGAAAGTTACTTTTATCCAATTTTCTACTTACGTTGTTCTCCCCTGCCTTTAGTAGAAGTCTTCTCCGTTTGTTTCTTCTGTCCAGCATCCATCCCTGGATTCTCAATAGCTCTCTCTTCAGTTATTTGGATTTTGTTTTGTGATACCTTTTGTCCCTTTTTGTGCTCACCCTGAGGCACTTCATTTTCTTTAGTTTCAGAATGCATCTGCAATTTAAACATACTTTGTTTAACCAGTTTGTTTCAACTGGATATAAAGAAAGGCTGTTGTTCTGAGAACAGAGACTCAGTGGAACAGATTGCCCAGAGAGGTGCACAGCCTTCATCCTCAAGGCTTTTCAGCATCAGGCTGGACACTGGGCTCTAACCTCATGTCTGAGACTACTTTGGCTGGGAGATTGAGCAAGAGATTTTCTCAAGTCCAAACTGAATTAACCTGTGAAATACTTACCCTGTTACTTCACAAACTTAGATACATTAGAAAGCTTTGATCTGCATAGCTCTCAAATTTTAGTATAAAATTGCCTTTATGGATTAAAGTTAATTATTTGCAAGTAAGATTAAATTCACTGGGGATGTTGCTTTTTACTGTTGTATTTCTGCATACTGTACAATTCTCTAACACTAAAATACTAACACTCCTCATTTTCTCATTTCCTTCCTCTGCCTCAGTTGAAGTCTTTCAGACAGTTCTTAATTTACCTACTCCTTGTAACTCAAAAAAAATTCAACCTCTATCATACCTTGTAACTTTCTCCCTAAGTCACACAACCCTCACAATAAAAGTTACGAGGTTTAGACAATGGTGCAACTTCTGATATTTTTTTCTGTATCAAAAAAGAGATAACAGCCTTATTTTAGATAAATTCTGAAACTAGTCTAAGATTCAGAATATTACAATTAACTAGTGAAATTAGTTTTACACTCAGATAAAGTGTTTGGAATTGTATATTTCTTAGGGGAATTTATTTTCTTGAAGCAATGACTACCAAGTAATGTCTGTTTATTATGGGATAGCACATAAATAGACAAAAGTCAGTACTACAAAATACAAGTACCAGAATGCTGGCATATCAATTTTTGTACGCATCTATATACACACAAACACACATATCTAAACACATACCATCTATAAATGGTGATTGAAAAGAAATCAAGTGTGCTTAAATTATGCTCAGAGGAAGGGAGGACAGCACACAAAAGCATGCAAAGCAAATCACCTGTTTCTCATCAGAAAGCACTGGGTTTTCTTCACTGCTATTAGTTTCCTCATGAGAGGTCCTCTTTTTTTTGTCCTTACCACGTCTTTTTGTAATAAAACACACTGAATCAGACATAATTTCCTCCTGATTGCTTAGTTCATCTGACTTAATGGAAGAAGATGCACTCTTTACAGGACCCTGTAGCAGAAAAAAACTATAACTGGAAGATATCCAACACAAATACAAATTAAATACTCCAGGGACAGTTTCAATTTTATTATTTAAAAAAGTATTTTACACAGAGGATAAACAGTAGCATGCCATGTAGCAGAATAATAATCAAGAAACTGGCACTATCCAGATTCCCCTAAGCATTAAAGCTCATTGTTTGGAGACTTTAAATACAATTGAAATGATTGGTTTATCATATTTCATTTTAATAAGACTATAAAAGCCTAATATTTTTTATTTGAAATCTAACTTGCATGATGCCATGACCCTCCCATATTTGTACATTTGTGGAATACTCTTCACCAGTAAAAACAGGGCTCCTTTCCTCCTCGTGAAAATTTTTAAAAAGCTGACAAGGTTTACACCAGTTCCTCAAATCTTTAAAGATTTTTAAGGGATGCACTTAAAGGCAGATGCATTTTAGAAAAAGCAGATAGCAAACTACTTTAATCAAAAATATTGCCACACTCAACAAAATAATTAATCTTACAGAAAACGTTAAAGAAGTTAAGAAAACAACACATTAAGAGACAAATAAAGGACGTAGCACAACTGTATTGCTTTAATTATAAATGGAAGTAAATTGTCGTAGATGCAAAATGCTTTCCAATTAGTACCTAGTCCCCTTCATTTAGGCATGCAAAATTAATGAAATATTTTTATATTTAGTATAGAATAGTGTCTGTAGCCAAACAAGCAAGAATTAAGGTTTGTTCAGTGGAAATTATGTTATTGTTCACAGAGAATAGGCTTGTATTGATGCTGAAAAATATTGTTAATTTTGGCAGCTGAAAAGAAATAAGATTTAAGTCATATAGGCCACTTCAAAACTAACATTAGCATATCAATTTCTATCAGTATGTAAGTACTTTAACCTAAGGGCAATAAGAAGAAAAAGGTATTTCTATTACAGTTCCAATTGTGGTCAAAATCACCCTTCAGCATATACTCTGCTCTATGAGTTACATATTAAGGATTACATTTCTTAAAAGCAACAGCTGATTTATTATGTTACCATTTTTTCACTTTCTTCTTTTGTCCTTTCAAAGTGTTGCTTCAATGATTCCAGTAATTTGTCTGCCTGAAGAGAAATCAAAACACATGAACCGAACAGTCCATTGAGTCACTGAAGAGCTGCATAAGCCCAGCCCGCATCCTATAAAGTGATCCAACAAACCAGCAGAACATTTCCTGAATCCAAGAGAATGAGGTATACCTAGGACTCGTTCAAGTCAGTCAGTTAGAGAAAGTGCCTAAGGCCACAGATAAACATGTAGATATCCTCCACCGAGGCACAAAGGCAATTTTCCATGCCTAGGTTTCTCCTGCTCTATTTTCCAGGGGGTTAATATTCAAGGAAGGAGATAAACTGTTTTAAGCCCCATAGCGCAGCTGAACTTGAATTAAAATTGTGTCAAATTTCTGCAATTGCTTCTGTCTTGCCCGTGCTACGTGCAAAACATTCTTTTCATCCCTGTCACGCATTCAACAGTGATAGTAACAAAACAACAATGAAAACACACCACTGATAAGCCAGGCTATGAAAGACTCTTGAACACCTAAGTGGAAAGGTCAGCACAAAAACAAACAAAGTACCCCAGAACTACCATTCCCAGAAAAACTCTTGGTCTGTGAGGACAGGGAGCTGCCTTGTCCACCCAAGCCGTGGATCCTTCTTTTAAGGCTTTACGAGCTGTGCCATTGCTGCCAGGAGGAGCCCGGCCGTGCCTCACAAGCACCTGCAGCTCCAGGCAGGAGCCTGGGGCATCCTTAAATTTCTCACCCCTTAACCGCGCCCGCCAAACGCATCTCCTCCCTTAAGGTACTCTCTTGTCACTCTTCCTCCCACTCCGAGTCGTAAGGGAAAAAAACAAACCAAACCAACCAAACAAACACAACTATCCGCACTGGCGGCGGACAGCGCGGGGTCACTGGCGTGGGGATCAGCCGGGCCAGCAGAGAAGGGAGCGGCCTCCCCTTCTCGATGCCCGGGGGACACCGGAGCCCCGCTCTCTCCCCACACTTAGTGCTTGCCCGCCTCCCGGACGGCAGCACAGCCCCGGGGCGCCCCGGCGCCGCTCCAGACGCGGGAGGTGCGCCCGGCGAGGCTGGGGACGTCACGCTACCGGGCACGGGGGCACCCCAGAACCCGGAGCTTCGTGGGCAGCGCTGCCTCGCAGCTGCCCCCGCCTCACCCGCAGGTTGGCCCTCAGCCCGGCGGCCTTGGCGATGCGCTGGAGCTCGGCGTATTTCAGCGCCTCCAGGGGCTGCAGCGAAGCGAGCGCCATGACAGCAGCTCCGACCGACCCGCCTGCCCGCCGCGCGCCAACCGACACCGCTCGCGCCGCCCCCGCCGTTCGAACTGGCCCGCTGCGCCAGCCCATTGGCTGGGCTGCCGAAGGGGCGTGGCCGAAGGGGGCGGAGCTAGGGAGCCGCCAATGGCGGCGCGGCCCGCCGCGCGTGCTTATTTTCAAGCGCGATGAGGCGTTCCCGGCAAAGAAAGTCGCGCGCGGTGCAGCCCGCTGCCCAATAGCCGCGGGCGGCGCGGATTGACGCTCCTTCTGTCCAATGGCAATACAGAGGTGCGCACCACGCTCCAATCACGATGTTTGGGGGCGGGCCCCGTGCCCGAGCGCTTGGCGGGAGGAGATGGCGGTGCGGCAGCGGCTGCGACAGCTGTTCCAGGACCCGCAGACCGTCGGGGCCATTGTGCTGGAGCGGGCGCCCGCCCTTGCCTCTACCGCCTGCGTCTCGCTGTCGGCGCCCCGGACGCCGCCCCGGCCGCCGCCCCTGTCGCCGCCCCTGTCGCCGTCTTCCGTGCCGCCGGCCGAGGTGCCGGCGTCGCCGCCGCGGCAGCAGGGTCCGCTGCCGGAGGAGTGCGCCGTGTTCCACTGCCGCGGCTGCTGGACAGTGCTGGGAGACTCGCTGCAGCTGTGCGGGCAAGAGCCGCCGGGGCTTAGCGTCCTCATCTGCTTCAGTCAGTGCCTCCTCCGCGCCGGCTGGTGCTGAGGACGCGCCGCTGCCCCGCGCGGACCTCGGGGCGGGCAGCGGGGCTTGGTCCGGGGGCTCTCTGCTGCAGCGCGTCTCTCTTTCTCCTCAGGAGTCACCAATGATGTGACCTGGGAAGAGTCGCTGTTGGTCGGCCTCGAGGGAGCCCTCCTGGGATGGTGCGTAGCTCCCGTAGTTCCGGCAGCGGACCTGCCCGAGTGGCCGCCGCGGTGAATCGTGCGCACGAAGCCGGGAGCTCTCCGGCCTGTGCGCGGGGATGCTCAGGGGTTTGGCAAGTCACTGCCAGTGACTTCTGTGCCTGTTTCACACCTCGGATGGAGATACTTTTTGTAGGGATGTAGTTCTCACTTGAAATCGAGATTTTTGCTGCTATAACCTCTGTAGGTGGAGAGAAACATTCGAGCAATGCAGTAGAATACAGCTTAACTTGTAGGTCCCTTTCTTCTCTTCCCTCAAAGGTCTCTTGCTTAAAGCATCTCTGGGTTTTGTTTGGTTTGGTGGGTTTTTGGTTGCTTTGGTTTGGTTTTGCGGGGAGGGGTGGCTATTGGTTGGTCGGTTTTTCTTAATACTGAAAATAAAAAACTTGTGCTGCCCCATTCAGGAACCTATCTTTTGCAAGGTTTGGTAACTCAGTCTAACGGGAAGAATGTAAAATGTCATCTAGGGGCTTACAGAACCAGTAGCTTGTTTAAATGATTTTTAAAAGCTGTTTTATAAACTGTCAGAACTGGGAACTGCTTCAATATAAGACTTGCTCTTTTTTTGACTTTTTTCCTTGCCCCTCTCTCTGCATGGGGTAATGATATATTTTATTAGAATTTTCAACTGGTGCATCCATTATTTTATTATTTAAATTATGTTTGAGTAGAATATGTAAATCATTCTGTGATAATAAGATGTGCATTTTCTTCCTTAACAGCAACTTCACTTATTTGAGAGATTGCTTCTTTCACAACATGCCCAATTTCTTATGGTCATACTACTTTGTACATATTACTTTTCTGAAGAGGATGCGTTATTATGCCTTGGATTTTTTCCCAATGGAACTGAAGATTTTATGCTCTCTGACAAATATGCAATATCTGTGGTTTCAAAAGCTTCTGTTTAAAAACACTTCCCTTTCTCCTTTTATTTAGTACTTATTATTTATTATTCTGTCGATCTTGTGGCTCAGCTGTGGGCTTCATTCTTTACTCTTCTGGCAGTGACCTGGTGTATCTCCGGGACTTGTTCTGTTTCTTCAAGGACAGCATCATGTGGTGAGTACACTGCATTCCATGGTCAGTGACTTCACAGGTAGTTTCAAGTCACTGTACAACTAGCCTACAGCTAACAAAAGTGGTTTAACTTCTGTCTGAGCACATTGGTGTGGGATATTAATATTCTTGATGACTAAATTATGTTGATGTGAATCCCTTTGATTTCCTTGTACCTCTTGAGTGTCCTTGTGCAATGCAAGACTTCATACTTCGTTGTGTGCAATGCTGAAATCTCTTCAGTTCCAGATTCATTTAGCTAATGTAAGGTATCAAAGTGATTATTTGATTGGTTGAGAACTTGACTGCAGAAGCTGTAAATTACTGAGAGGATCTTGATTCCAAAGTAAAACCATTGCTGTATTTTGAATATTTTCATAATTATTACTTTTGGCAACAACCTTGTATCTGATTTAAAATAATTTTAAATCATCTGTCTAAATAGTGCAACTACAGGTTTTGTAACTGTGTTTTTTTTCCCTTTCCCGTTTTGTTTTCCAGTTATCTCTTAAAAAATCAAATGATTGTAGAAGCTTCTAAGGTCAATTTTCCAGCTGTGACCTTAAAGGAAAACATGCAGAAAGTAAGATTTCCACAATAATGGAAAATACTTTTAAAATACTGATAATTTTGGACATTAATTCAAAAACATTGATACAAATGTGGGGGTTTTAAGTGCTTAGGACTGAGAAAATGCTGCCTTATATGACAATAACTGACTCAATGCATGAGACATGAACATTTTCTAAGACCCCTAAACTGCATAACATACCCAGTTCTAGTTAAATTTTGGCAAAAGTTTGTTATCCTTTTATCTTTATACCTTGCAAAGAAAAAAAACCCAAAAATAATTTATACAGACTTGGCCTAAGCATTACAACTTGTGTTGTCATTGTTGAAGAATTTAAAATCAGATTTTTTTTAATATGAAAGGGATTTTTTTAAAGAGATATTTTTATGTCTGTGCAAGCTCAAAACAGCATGGCAGTATTTGTTGTTTCAGAGAGAACTCTAGGACCTCCCTCCTGTTTTGGTGTTCAAATTGGATGTTCTTATCTGTAACTTGACTAGTTTGTTAGTTAATTGCCTGTGCCTTAGCTCAAATAAAGTTATTGTGTGTAGGAGACAGCCAGCATATCATATTTATGTGATAATTTGTTCATTACTTTTTTTGGGTTTCAGTTTGGATTTTAGTTTCTCTTGTAATGGACCTTTTACATTTCTTTAGTTTTGTCCTCTTCCAGTTTCTGTAAGATCAGACTGTTTTTACAGGTCAAGTGAGGCTAAGATACAAAAATCCTATCCAGCTAAAACTTCTGAAGTTGACACATGATTTAGTAATAGTAAATGGCTGAAGTAAAAATATGACAGCACTTCATTGCAAACACAAATTATGTGACTGTAGAGACTTTGCTTATTGACTAGAACAAGCTCAAGCATCTGGCCTTTGCTTTTTGAGACATAATGTCCACATGCATTCCTAAGCTAATGATAAAACAGTTTGTCTACATATTGTCATAGGTTTCTGGCTGTGTGAAAATTTGAGTTAACTAGAAAAGATCCGGTTCATCATAGTAAAACTGCAGCAACTCCATCTTCCATTATGCCCCTGGAAGGACTGATACTGGCACACATTGATCCATCTCTAGTTTGTAGTGTAGCCTTCTGATCTGGGTGCTGGTTTTGTCAGTACTAAACATGCAATATAGAGATCAAGCCCCTCTATACTTTCCCATCTTGAAAATGAGCTGCTCTTTAGCCACTTAAAAGTGGGGTGCAGGTCATTCAAAGGTCCAGTGTTAGGACTTTTTTTGCTAATTTTAATACTCTTCTCTTTTTTCCTAGGTGAAAGAAAAGCTTGTGGACTTGAGTGCTCGCATAGAATTAGTAACAGAACATCTGGATAAAATAACAAAATAATTATGTAAAAGAACGGCAGAACTCTTCAACAGATCAACTGATACACATTTTCAAGAACTGTTGGAAATGTTTCTGCATCTCTGCTGTGTTTGGTCATTACCAAGAAATATTGCACCAGAGTAATTGATCTGTTACTTTATCTGTGTGTGGAACAAACTGATGATGAAGTGCATCCCTTCAGGAACACCTGAGAATCTGACATACTGAAATTATGCTTGGAAGACTGAATAGTTCACCCATGCAGCATGTTACTCTTTGAAGCTGTGTAAATGTGACTTTGGTTTTGTAGTGACTTCAGGGTGAAAACTAGCCTTTGAAATACTGAAGTCAGGTTTCTGGAGCTGTGCAAAACATACTTGGCAAGGTGGAGATATTCAAGAGCAACCATTACAAACTGAACATTCTTAGAGACCTAGAGCTCTTGTCCCACCATTTAATAGACACATTGTTAATGGCAGTCTTGGTTTTAATGGCAGCTAGTTTTTGGTCAAGTGCTCATTAGCTACAACTGATATGTGAGCCGCTGCTAAATGGACTCCTGAATAGTTTTGAGATTTGCTAGTGTGTGTTGCCTGCAAAAGCAGCAGACGAGCACATCACAGATGCTTCAGTGTTCTTAGAGCATGAGTCTGGATGGCACCATGGAGGAAGAACACAAGGTTTTGAATTTAAGGTAATGGGCAACCCACGTGCCAGCAAAGTCAGTCCCAGGAACAGGACTGAGTCAAATTCTGCCAGCTAAGGCTGTGAGCAACTGCCTTGAACAGATTTGAGCATTTCTTTCTGGAACGTTAACTATGAGATCAAGGGACATTCTTCTGCACAATTGTGGAAGCACTGCTTTCCAGAAGTTATGACTGGCCCGTCACCTTCAATTGGCCAATTAGGATGTTTCATAAAAAATACCTACTCATGGCTCATTGGCATCTATCTCTGTTGGAAATTGGTTCTGCTTATTTCCAAACATTTAGGAAATATTTTTACAGAAAAGAAAGCACTTACCCGTTGTTACTGGGACCAAATATCCCTTATTCTTTTTTTGGAAGATTAAGGTCACTTTTCCTCTCCTTTTTGCTGCCTAAAGGGCTAATGTTTTTCCCTAAAGGGAAAATGAACTTTATGGAAAGTTTAATAGTTGCCTGTAGTAGTCTAGAGAGGATTCTGTTTACTTGATCAGCTTAATTCCAGTGATGCAAATTGCCTTCTGCTTCCATATATATGACCAACAGGTTGCAGACCTCATTGCTGCCGCTGCCAGTTTTGTTTTGTCTTATTTGTAAAATAACTCATAATGGGCTTGGAGCAGAGGGGACAAAATTCACTCTAAGGCACCTCAGAGGTTTTAGGTGGGTAACTCATACTTAGGCTCCTACTAATGTTCATTGCACTGCTTTCTTTTTGGGAGTTCTGTATGGTCTCAGTTCATTGTCATAAGCAAAACCACAGAGTATCAACAGTCGTTCTGCAAGGAGAGGAGAGACTCTCACAAATTCTAATACCACCTTTGTAGTACTTCCTTAGTGCTTCTGTTGTTGTTGCATGAGTCTAAGAAATGTGATTGAGATTGGCACTACTTGCTTTTGCCCTTTCATTCCAGTTTCTGCACTGAGACTGTTTCTTGCTATTTTATGTCTATACTATGAATAAAGCTAAACTGTTTTGCTTCATTAGTGCTGATCCCTAAAAGAAAAAGAAAGCTGTCAGTTACATTTTTGTATTATATTTAAAGTTGTGACAAAGGAACTTCTTAAAAAAAAGCTGAAACTCAGATATTCATATAGTCCAAACCACTGCCAATACTATGCGAGTCATTTGCTTACTTCTTTGATTATTTTGCAGGAAAAAACCCATCACTTTATCTTGCTTGGGTCCTCATTTGTTATGAAGTATTAAAGTATTGGTTCCACAAATTATATTACATAGCATGGATTTACATATATAATGAAGAAGAATAGCTGGTAATTTTTTTAAACTGCATTTCTGTAATCTTTGAAACTGGGAAGACCTCCACCAACCACAGAATAAATGTTTTGGAAGTGTAGTCAGCAAAACAAACAATACATCCATAAAACAGTCTTTTGAGGGGCCTTGTTACTTTTAGACAATCAATACAAGAAGCAGAGGGTTTCTGCTATCCTCTAAAACAACTCTTGAAGGGATTGAAGTTATGCATCTTAGAATGAGTGGAATAACAATTTTTGTTTAGCTGCTGTTTAAGTCAGAAGCTCTTGTGCCTGAAGTCTGGGACAGCTGGCCCCAAAGCAGATATCCAACATATAGGAATTCAGCTCAAATTGTTAAGTTTCGACAAAGCTAAAGCAAGTACACCTCAGAAGTGGAGTGGAATGTACAGTAATTTGGTTGATTTGTCTTCTGAACAGATGACACATCCAGTTTTAGTGCATTCTCAGCCTGTGCTGCTTTATTGCTAAAAAAGTTTGTATACAGGTGCAGAGTTTCCAGGTTCATTTTTAAACAGTTCCTCTTTACAGTGTCAAAAGAATAAAATCTTATCTTGGAATCCTCAAAGATGCATAGATATAAAAGCAAGCTGCCTTTTGGAAAAAATCAGAATTTGCAGGGAGACATTCTTTCACTGTTACCATGTAAAACATGTGCAATGGGAGTACATAGTTTGTAGTCACACCAATAATTTCCTCCACTAATCCATGCAAGAACGCTATCAGAAGTTCAGTATAAGTATTCTTTAACCTACTAAGTACTAAGGTAATTTTTAGGAATTTATACCTAATACTTCTCCTTTGCTGTTAAATTTCTTAAAAGGAAAACAACTTCACTGACATCCTGCAGTAGCTTATTCCCAGGTCATACTGAAGGGAAATACAAAGGATACAATGGCTTACTCATTATAATATTTAACAGACTTTTAAACCATGCATAGTGTTCTAAAGAATTAAAAATTACCATGGTTAACCACTGGGCTAACTTTGTCTTAGAAATTTTCTTGTTTCTTGAAGAAGTTGGCTCAAAGACTTTAATTCAGTCTAATTTGTGATACCATGGAATAGTTATCTTCTCTTATAATATTTGTATCTTCATTTGGCAATCCTTACATATTTAAAAAGAGCATTCATGGGTAAAACCAGAGTTCCCACTCTAAACCCAAAACACAGCACTTTATAAATGGTTGGCTATGAAATATGAACAGGAGTTAACTTGACACACCTTTTCTTCCTCCAAGACACTTCCTTCTACTTAAGAGAGGACTGAGCCTCTGTACATGGAGAAGTGTTCTGCACAAGTTAAGCCCACTTACAAAATTAAGCTAAGCTACAAGTATAGAATTCTGCAATTACAAGCCAGTATTCTACATGTTTAATTACAAGTTTAAACTTGGAAAAGTATTAGTGATGTAAGCTATGCCACACATTCTCTTATTTTCAAACTGCCAGCAGAAACTGACTGCATTATCCACTAAGAGACTTGAATTACAGAGAACACAGTGAGAGTTTACAGAAAGATGGCGCCCAAATTCCCTTTTATCTAGTAAGTGAAATAAAGAAAATTGCAACCTCTGTTGCAGAAGATAAAGACCTTCAGTGATCACATCTCATTTTCTTTTTTAAAAAACCTCTTTAAAGAACTTAAAAAAATATACAAGATTACCAGTATTTTCAGGTTCATTCCTGCAGATGCCATTATTGCTGGCTGGTACCAGTATGCTTCAGTACAGCTGCCTATGGGGCTAGAGTTACCTGAAAATACTGTATCTTAAAAAGCTATTCAACACCTGAAAAATATGTACTGTGCTTATTAATTTCAGTATTCTCCAAATAATTTCTCTCACCACACTCAAGCTTATTACCTACTGTCTGGCAAATACTACCCTTGAGTCTGTGGTTTCTGTTACTTGTTTATTGGCTTGGGTTTCGGGGTGATTTTTTTGTGGGTTTGGTCTTTTACTTTCCCACCAGTCACTCCCCCTGCACCATGTAAGAAACTCTGCACCCTTTTCCTTGCTACAGCTGCAGCAGGTGAGAAACCTCATCTCGCCTCTAAACATGCTTAGTTCATGCCCTGTTTTTTTACATGCTCAGGACAGTGATATGAACCAGACTACAGGTTATAAAGGCGAGTTCTGCTGATTCTGGTTCCTGATTTACAGTTTTGGTGCCATGCTTCTGTTCCTATCTATACATTCTGCCCCCATCTCTACAGAGGCAGCACATTCTCTAAAAAAAACCCGAAATTTGAGAATCAAAGCAGGAAGTTCAAGCTATTGGTATATTAATTCCTATTGCTTCATTATGTATAAATGCATATCTCAATTTACTGGTAATAACTACATTACACTAGACATTTTCAATCATGCATAATTAGAATACTAGCTCTAAGATTTGGTTTGTGGGCCTGTGCCGCTTTCCTTCAGTTTCTCCATGCAGTTCTTCATGCCTAAGGCATTACAAACTACCTGCCTTTTATTTGACCTGCAAACACACTCATTTGGAGGGGAAGTGGAGTGAAGCAGACAGGATTTACATAGGACACACTGAACAGAAAGTTACCTTCTATAACTTTAGATGGGGTAAAAGTCTTGTGAAATTGTCTATATTATAACCCAATACATAGGCTCAGAGACAGAAACAGGCTCTGCTGACATCATGAACACTGACACTTTCTCTAAAACACAGGAGGAAGTGTAGAGACTGAAAGGGAACAGACATCAGAATCCATGGTTAGTATTCTGCACTTTTGAACAAGACGCCCTGTTCAACTGCTGCCTTTTGTGTGCCAATCAAAGTGCTACAGGGGCAAAATGCTGGATCGTTCCATGAAAGAAATCCAGTGGAATCTAACTTGAACTGTCATTCTGCAGCTCTGCACCTGACCAGCAAGTAGGATTATTAATTTTGGAGGAACACCAGCCAGTTTTCTAAGGATGCAAGAAGCAGTAATTTCTAAGATTCGTTATATATCAAAAATAGTTCTAGCTTCAATAATTTTTCCTTTTCTGCCCCCCAAAATACCCCAGTTCTTGACAATATAATCCTCATGTAAAGTGTCAGTATCCTCAGCCTCAGTACAATTTCCTCCCACTATCAAGAAGTCTTTGCAAGAGTTTAGTTTTCTCATAAATTTGACAACTACCCTCAGTAACAGAAGTTACAATTCCCAACACAAGTACTGGCAAGACCTTCTGCAGCAGCACTACTGGATATACAAACATATTTATACCACATGGGTTTAGTACTGCTAAAGAAGTCATGTTCATATTGGTCATTATACCTTTGATATACCACACCAAAGTGTGGTAACACCTGACACTTCCACTTAGGTTTAGAAGCCGTTAAATCAAGGAGGTTGAAGCAAAAGTCAAGTCATAGTACAAGAGCTGAAAGGCAAAGGGTTTCCTTTTGTTGCTGTGAATAGTAATTCCTAGCTAGCAACCCACAGAATTCAGATCATTATTAAAAGCCTGAACTGGGAAGTGTACATAGACAGCTTGCCTGGCTACATCAGTCTTTATCTCCTTCCCCCTTTTCTGAGTGGATACACCCCTGAAGAATTCTGTTCAGCCAGAAAGTTCATACTTCTGAAGCATGAATGTGACTTTGTTTTCATTATAATTTCATTATTATGCAAATGTACTTGCTGATCACAGACCACATAATATCAAAATTTCTATAATGTAATCAGAGAGCAATCAAATGAAGGTCCTCTATGGCCAGCTTCCAATTTTATCAAAAAATCAATAGTTGGAATTTAAGCTGATTACAATCTTTCATATCAATTAGTTTTCCTAAGCATGTTAGCCAACACTTAATTTAGACATTCTCATGCTTATCCTGTTACTTTATACTGCAAAAATGCTCACATCCCACAGCCCTGACAGTTCCATTATCAATTTATGAAGAGACAAAGTGCTTCACCCCCATGCTTTAAAAACACAAGAAGCTTCGATTAAGCTGGAAGTTTATAGTCTAAATTCCTTCAGCTTTCCAGAAGAAATGCAGCCAGATTGATCTAAACCTCTGATTCTGTTCACAATACATTACTATATGTTGGGCCACACTCTGTCCATTGATGAGGTTATCTACACTGAAAAATGTAAACTGGGAACAGTTTAGAACTCCTGTGGCTCTTTGATAGCGAGTAAATTTTTGGATGCAGATCTACAGGTGAAGCTCAATAACCCTTTGTGTTACAATAGGCTTCACAGTACTTGCCTCTGCAAAACTTCAGGCATCAACTGAAATCAATTATGGTCTGAAACAGTGTTTAGCAAATCT